TCTAATGTTTTAAAAAATTCTAAAATATTCAAAAATAGCTCTAGAAGTGGATTGTACCAATGTACCAAGAAAGTGTCTATCAGGACATTCCACCTGTGCTAGAATCCGTCATCCATAATCATCTTCTTAAACCAACTCTTTGGGCCCCATGACCCACAGTCATGCACAAAGGTTCATGATTTGCCTGTTGAAGTCTGCCAATATAGTGGAACCACAATACTACTATGTGGATTATAGGTTCTGCCACAAAAGCAAGTCATGCACGTATCATTATAGTGCAAGGGGTAATTTTTCTATGCACATCTTCATGGAATGCGGCTGTCATGTTTACATGCCATACAAAATTGTTTAGAATTTGGCGATCACTCTCATAGGCCCATAGCTGCGCGCAGGAATCCTAGTGGCTTCTTGGCGTACAAACTGATAGGTGTGGCTATGTGGAACTCAAGATATTAAATTAAAAAAAATTTCTTTTCTATTTATTCCAAATACCCAAATTCCACTTTCATGAGCCACAATATGTTGTTGTAAAATTAAAATAATGTCTTAGATAAAACCTCGAACCTTTATTTTTACTGCCAAGAGAGATGGAAACTATCCAAGAGCTTAAAAAAAACTTCCACTATAATTTTTAGCACAAAACAAGTTCCTGAAAATTCACAGAAAATAAGAAATAATATTAAAACTTATGGGAAGACTTATTGAAAAATGTCTGGAGTTATCCTATCAGGTGTCGGTACACCCCACACCCGATTCCTTGACCGATGACGCACTTTTACTTCTTTACATGTTATTAGAAATTTTGAGATAGGGAAGCTTTGTAGGCAATATTTCTTTTTTTAAGGTTTTTTGAGAGCTAAAAAATCAACGAGGATTTATAGAAACCCTAGGTACCAAAATAGGGATGAACTTGTGAGTTGATCTCTCTCTAGGCTATACTTCTCCTTTCTTTCTTCAAAATATAGCAAGCCTCTTTTAGGGTTTGAAAGCCCCACCTTTTTCCTCTCTTTTATTTTCTTTCTTTTAATAGAGGCTACTCAAAAAAGAGAAAGAAAGAGAAGATGGTGTGACTCTTTCTAAGGGAGAGTCATGTGGTTTTTAATTTTGATGAAAGAGAAAGAAAACAAAATAGGGCGTGATGGAGAGAGAGAGACCTTTGGGAAATGAGAGAGATATCTCTTTTGTAATGGGAGAGCGGGCTGGAATCTTGTTTAAATAGAAAGAATATCTATTTCCTATTTTGAATAGGATTCCAATCCAAGTATGCAGTATCCAATTTCCAGCGAAATCTTTTGGATAATTAAGAAATCTACAGGGTGAGAGAATTAATCCATAGTTGTTGGAAATGCCGGGGAACCTATATCGTTTTAGGCATCGGAATTGCGGAATCGCCGGTGGCTATAAGATTCCTGTTTTCAAAATCGTCGTTCGTACAATGAGAATCTCAGAGTGCGAGATTCCTATTTTTTGGGAATGGAGAATTGACCAAAATGGAATTGAGATTTTGCACGTATGCAATCAATATTCTAAACTCCTGGGAGTTGAGATTCTTACCTCCTTGAAATCGATCCCCAAGGAATCGAGATTTTAAAATCTTAGGAATTGAGTTTCCAACGTATGTGGAACCGATATTCTCACCATTTTGGATTCAAGATTTCGACATATTTGGAATCGAGTTTTGATGTATGTGGAATCGAGATTCATACCAGTTTGGAACTGGGATTCATATTAGTTTGGAATTGAGCTTGATCCCAATTGGCAATCGAGATTGGTAACTCTATAGAGTCAAGTACGAAGCCCACAGAAACATGTTTCCTATATCAACCATGCGCAGCACAAGCCACTCAACACGCACTATTTGTGCGCAAAGTGTAGCGACATTCAAACCTTGCTTGGGATACCTAACTGCAAAAAGGCATTAATGCTGGATAAATAACTAGAATTATTCCATTAGCGGGAGAAAACCGTAAATGAGATTAGTCGCCCAAGCAAAAGATTGAAGGACTGGGAATACCCGACGGGTTGATTTTTGGTAAATAAAATACGAGAAAAATAGAACTGGCAACATGCAAGAAAATAAAGCAGAAAAGAAATAACTGAAAAAAAACACTAGGATTTACATGGTTTGTCACGGATGTGACTACGTACACGTGTGCAACTCGCGCTTTATCAAGTTAGAACCTATTTAAGCAATCGATATCAAATGTCTCTTATTAGACTTGTAGAAGGGTTCCTCAGATTTGAAGTCAATGCATTAATTATTGAACTTAGGGTCAAGTAGTCCACTAGGGAAATTATCTACAAAAGATACAAATGAATATTATCCCATGTATTTTTAAATTGTGATCTTGACTTCATTATTATACAAACAAAATAGGATTTTCTTTGTGCTATGTATGGTGTTTATCTTATATTTTGTAGTTACCAATTGTACTTTAAAGAAAGGCAGTCCATCCTAGCACTATTAGAAATGTGATTTAAGACAGTCTTCACACTATTAGAAGCATTCGAATTGAATAAAGATTTCTACTTCAATTACCTTTAAAAAGTGATAACCATTAAGGAAATTGGACATTATGTACTTCGAATCGTTATTTATTTATTTGTTTATTTATTATTATTTGTTTGCTTGTATTCACATATGCCATTGTGGTAAGGAGAAATTCAGTCTAAACATCAAGCACACACATGGATACAATGTCGCATGAATTAAATAACAACAAGTGAGTTGAGAGAGATTTTGACATCAAACAGGTGTCTTATGGAGGTTGAAGCAAAATTCCCTGTTGATTGAATCACAGTTCCCTACTTCTACGTACCAAGGTATTCTACGTTGTGGGCTCTAGATTCAAACCATAACGAATCAATATTCATCATATGTGGAATCAGGAACCAACAGATGTGGAATTAAGATTCAATAAATGTTGGAATCGAAGTTCGAAAAATTTGGGGCCGAGATTCCACTAATAATGGGATGGAGATTCGTAAGAAGGTTTGAAGTGAGATTCTTAATTTATGGAATCTAGATTCCTAAGTTCCAGGAAACGGTTTCTGTGAAGATCCCTTGTTGGAATCGTGGAATTGGGGTTCTAAATTGGAATCACGACCTCGGTAGAGAGATTCAAGTAACTATGAGTTAATTAGAGCTATCCATACTACAAATCAACCGTCATGATTTTGGGTGGAAAGATAAGAATCTTATCCCTTTAGATTTTGGCCCAAGTCCTACTCCTATTTAAATTTGAAATACAATCAAATTTAAATGTTATCTAGATCTCCTATAATCAAGGAAGATTTGAATTTTAAATAACTCCCACTAGAATAGGAAATCAAATCTAATCTAAATTAATGAGATTTCCCATCTTTAACTAATTTAAAATTTGAACTAAATTTTAAGAAAATGGGGCGGCCCCCTTTCTCCTTAAAAAATGGCATAGAGCCATTTTTTGTTTTAAAGAAAGTTTGGGTGTGGCCCCTTTTTTTTACCACAAAAAGTGGCGTGCCCTCCCCCCCTTTTATAAAAAAAAAGAGTGGCATGCCACCCTAGGAGGTCATGTGGGCCTCACATGGGTGGCACACTCATGTGGGGGCTGGATCCTTGGTCCCCACATGTGCTTATCAAGTTTTGAAAATTTTGGAAATACCATGTGGTGTGCCACCCTAAGAGGTCATGTGGGCCCTACATGGGTAGCACAGAGGCTGGATCCTTGGTCTCCACATGTGCTTATTAAGTCATGAAAATTTCAAAAGTACCCTTTGAATGTATTTTACAGGAGAAATAATATTTTAAAATTCTGAAAAAATATTTAAAAGTCATAAAAACCATCTCTAATACTAAAATAAAATATACTAGGAGTGGACTGGTACCAATGAGTCAAAAATAGCGACAATAAGGGCACTCGGCCCAAAAATCACGATCCACTACTGTCCTGTTATCCAACCCAACAGAGACCCATGACCTTTAGTCTCAAAGTAGGGGCTCATGATTAGCTTGTCAAAGTTGGACAATAAACCGTGGAATCATGATCCTGGAATGTGGATTTCAGTTCCTCCCTTTAAGAGAAACTCTAGTACTTATCACCACAGTGCAAAAGAGGCTCTCTTTATGTGCATGTGCATGTGTCCCTTTATAGGACAGCTTCCCAGTAACCCCGGCAAGTTTTTCTTCTTCTCTTTTATTTTCACCTCCTGGATTATTTATAAGAGTCCAAATACATTATGAGAAACAAGAAAAATACAAAAGAATCCCAAGGATTCTCACTTGCTGCCACTTTAACAATTCTTTATTATACAACCAAAATTGCATAAACTTGTTCTTGAGATCGTGAAATACATAATACTCATGGGAGCAAGAAAACATAAGATTGCAAATCACAAAGAAAATTGCCAGAAGATTACCTTAACTAGACTTTGCACACCTCACTTAGGGTCTCCTCCTTTAATAGCGCACGAGATCAATGGTCTATTTCAAATCTTTGAAGCATGGGAAACCGTAGGCTACAACCCTTAATCAAATCTGAAAGCAATGGAACAGTGGCACATCATGTAAGGCCTCAATGCCATAGTATGGGCATGCCCCCTTCTTCCTACTATGGAAGGAGTGTGCCTCCCTTTTATTTTTTCTAAATATTATCTAGGGAAAATTTCATACAGAACCTTACTTCCTCATCTTATTTCATGGTAGACCTTCATTCCATTTTTCTTTCAAGCGGCATAAAAAAATCCTTAAGGATTTCACTGTACCCCCTCATCTCTTATCTCCCTCATTTATTCACTTTTGACCATAAAAATTAGCCCCAACAAACCTTTTTATACCATTCAACCA